AAGCAACAATTAGCCAGATACTTTCTATTTTACAACTAAATCCAAAAATTTATTCACGTACATTAGAAGCAGAAATAACAACCCCTGTTTCAAGTCATTAAATTATTCCACTACCATATTTTTCATTTTGCTACAAGTACATTCATAGCCAAAATATGTCTCCATCAAACCAGCAGCACAAGAGGGTCATATCGAATTGAGAATCGATTTTGTCGCACCCGAAATAGGGTGTAAAGATCCCATTGTTATATAGATGTTGGCCATATGTCGAGAACCGGACTTTTCACCCCTTTACTGTATTTGTCATTTAAAAAGAAGGTTAGATATCGATTTTCAATTAATCCATTTCAAATTATACAATCGATTTAACTAAGAATTGATATCTTGACCAATGTAACACTACTCTTACTTTTAGGTATATGGGATTGTTAGAAACTGAAGTTATAGACACTGATTATAATAATAACTAGCTGTAGGTACACGCCACTTCGTCTCCTTTTCTTTAAATAAAAGTAGCCTATTCCTAAGTACATCAGCTACCTACCAATAAAAGTCACAGTGATTAGCCAGTAGGTACGTTTGTACTGACAGACAGGCACACAAAAATTGTAAAATGTGTTATGTTGCTATTGTATATAAGTATCGTATGTTTATTCATACGCATGTAGTAAAAAGTGGTTATTTCAGTATTATAAACAGACACTCTAATTTGATTTATCTGTATTGATAAAATATAAACTAAAAATAAAAATTTCGTAATCCATCGAACCAGTTTTATAGGAAGATTAATAATACATTTAATTAGAGAAGTTATGAGAGCCCGACAGCCAAATAATAACTCCTCCCATCACGTTCTCACGCATCTTTCAAACAAAGTACACATACACACTCAATGCACTATCCAAACGTTTTAAAATGTCGCCTAATCCTTTAATAGCTATCCCAGTCACAATATGTTCAACACAACAAACCGATTTGACGATTAAACCCCTCTTACACGGTTTTAAACTCAAGCACGACAAAACATCTTAATCATTACGGTTCATAAAATTCTTAAGTGATTGCGTAGGGGCGGTATGCGTGGGCATGAATTGATTTGGTCAAGTCCATCTTCTAAAGTACCTGGGCTAGTAAACGGTAGTACTTATAGCAGTAGCCAATATAGGGGTGCCTTCAAAATTATTTTAAGTGTACTTGATGTTGATCGTTTTTTAATTTATTTTTGTGGCTCGAATTTTTGGTGGTTGTATTTGTATTTGATTGTTTGAAGGTGAGCTCGGGTTGTTTGTTGATTTAATAAAATTGATTGTATTAAATTGAAAGTTCAGTAAAAATGTTACATTCAGTAATTTTTTTCTGAAATTTATGTAATTTTTTTGAAGTATATAGGTATTGGCGTTTAAGGTGATCATTAATATAGAATACTTAACTTTTTATCGGTCATATAAAAATACACAGCATTTTTTTCTATTAAAAAAAATTGCCACAAAAATGTCCTATATAAAACAAAAAAAATATCGAAAAAATGTCCATAGCTTACAACAGTATCGCATAAGTTAATAGTAGAGTCGGCCGGGCACGCGGGCAGAGATAATGAAATTGTGTACAGAAGCGCAACGAGCCGCGAGCGTGTCTCGGCCAAAAATCCACTTAACAAATTGCTGCTGATTCGTAGGGTTCTGGATTGTTGCCTGCTTTTACCGTTACGTCAATTATTCGTCGTGTTATCGATACAGGAACGGTTTAGAGCGCTGTTGTGAGCTTTGTTTCCGATTCTATAGTGATGCGATATGGGGCTTTTTATCGATGAATCGATTATGGTCAGTCAATTTGTGTTTCAACGACAGTAAAAGACAATGTTGTAATTTGAGTTCATTTCCTATCATTCTTAATAGTTATGAATAAACTAAAAACAAAACAAACTAATTCATAATTGAAGACTACTCTAATAAAAATTACATTAGACGTCTGCAAAAAGTATGCCACTCATAAAATAACTTTTATGATAAAACGTCCATTTGCTAAGTAAAAAGACTACGATGACGCATGCATAAAATAATTAAACCATCAGAATACGTATCATTTCGCTGGCAGCGACACAATGCAAAAAGTGAAAAAGAAAAAAAAACAAATTGCAAAAAACACGACTGTAATGAATTCGGTGTTGGGCGTTTCGCACGCAATTGCACAATTTCAATTATCGCATTAGTTCGCGAGTGTACCGTGGGCGAGGCACGGTACATGAATGGCTGATGGATATTGCTGTGTGTACTACTGACTTGTGACACTGATAGTACTTGACGCTTGACGTTAACTCGTGTTAATTGTATGTGGTTTTAAGTGGCCAGTACTATTTAAGTACAGCCAAAATCTACCGCACTCATCTATATCTATACTAATATTATAAAGAGGAAAGATTTGTATTTTTGTATGTTTGTAATGACTAAACTCAAAAACTACTGAACCGATTGCAATAATTTTTTCACCATTCGAAAGCTGCATTATTCAGAAGTAACATAGGCTATATAATATCACGCTAGGTCCTATAGTTGTGGAGCAGTAACCAAAAATGTTTTAAAAACGGGGGAAAAGTATCGTTTCTGAGGCCTTCCGTGGCGTGCGCTGAGCATATAGTTAAAGTTATACAAAAATGTTCTTTAGATGAATTGTTTATCTTAACATTATTTTTAAAAAAGTCCGCGAGAGCATATGTCTACCTTTTATAGTTTACCCATAACAATCGTTTTAATGAATGGTTCAATCCTTATAAAAGTTTGCTCTAGATAACTTTTGAATTGTTCAATCGGTTACCTTAAGATGCGACATCGACAACGGAGGGCAGGTCGCTAAAAAAAAACTGAGAATAAATATAAATAAAACGTAAAACTATGTAAAAAATCTTAAGTCCCCCCGTGCGAAGCCGGGACGGGCCGCTAGTATTTCATACAGAAACCGAAAGGTAGATATCCGTTCAACATGTTCGGTTATTATAAGCGTTATTAGTAATTTTTACTGTGATACATCAGGTTAATTTGGATCATTAATGAATCTGAATTAAGGTCCAAAATCAAAATCTCACACACTCATAAACGACAATAAATATTCATAAAACCCCTTTGTCGACAAAATTGGGCCTAATAATGAACAACGCAAAACCGACTTTAATTTAGATACATCAAACGATGAAAAATCACAAGTTTTATTTGTGGTGAGAGAGAATTTCCACGATCAACTTCATGCGCCGAAAACCAAAGGAAAGTTGGCACAAAGGCAACCGTTGATTTTTTTGTTTCCAAGGTAGAAAAAAAATTGAATCGAGCGAATTACAAAACCGACGTGCGACGTTTGGTGTGTAGGGTTGGCATAGATCAATTAGAAACCTGCGTTTTACTTGATGAATATTTCACGTGAAGATATATTATAGCTCTAGCATTGGATCTAGAAAACTTTAAAGCCGATTTGTATTTCTCGTTCGTACCAATATTCCCCAAATGTGTGTAAGTGAAATGTGTCTTTACCTCTATATTATGTTTTCATTATTAAAAATGTCTACATGTCCATTTACAAAAAATTACGTACTTCATGAATTAACGTCAAAAGCAAGTGATTAATTAACGTCTTCAATAAGAAAACCATTATCATCAACCCTAAATTTCAAATATCGAACGTCGTACCGAATGAGAGACGCCTATCTCTATTGAATTCCCGAAAAAGGCCGAAAAATAAAAAATAGGGAACGCCTCGCGAACAGTGGTATCAATAGTGGTCGCAGCTCTATTGAAATTTTCGATATTTGTCAGCCTGATTAGCTGGCGCTCCTCCCGCCATATTCTACATCAGAAGGCTGAATGGCTCAGCGTGAGATCGATGTGAGCTCAATTTTGTGCAGTCTTTTGTTTTTGCAGAGTTGTTTGTGAACCCCCGATTGAAGGTTGCCGAAATACCTTTTATATCTATTGAATTTCGATTGCCAAAAATGTTGTGCATGAATAGTGTGATTAATTGGCCATATATTTTTGTGGTAGGGGTTCACCTTGCTTATTATTTTGATTCTTATACTAAATTATTTCGTTTGCATTACCTGAGATTTTGATTTAGTTTGTAGAATTTAAGAAAAAATGGTGGAGACTATTTATATATATTCGTCTAAAATAGACGTTACTTGTCAAAACATCACCACCACCAAAAACATTTCACATGCCAGCGAAACGCAAAACAAAAACACATCAACAAGGTCGACCAAAGAGCTTTCAATAAAATGTCTGAACAAAAACTCCGCAATAGATATCTGGCAACAACGTTTGCAATAAAAATAGGTACAATGCGAACTGAGAGCCTCAAAAGTTTTCTGTATCGCGAAAATGCATTTGCCTCGGTAAAGTTCGAGATTGCCGTCATTGTCGGCTGATGAATCGCTACGAATTGTGGAATACGGAATTTTAACAAACGCGTCTCTATTGTTTTAGTGTTCATTGAACTTCGCGATTTGTTTCTGTTTTAGTTTGCTGTTTTCGTTTTTGTTTAATTGAGTAATGTGATAGATGTTATGCCGGACATTTGGTAAATGCTTATTAGATACTGACTGCCTCGTTGGCCGAGTGGTCGCAAGTGCAACTCGGCAAGGGGTCTCGGGTTCGATTCCCGGGTCGAGTAAAATATTACTGGGTTTTTAAAAAAATCTCAGTGGTAGTACGAAGTCTGGAATTGTGCCCGGTATATGGCAATAGGCTCACCCCCCATTGGCATATACTCACCCCCCACGTGGGACTCATAACATAAAATAGTGAAAAGTAGGTGTTACATGATACAGTGACATTAAGTGCCGCAATGTATACCTCTGCTTACGCCTTCGGGGATTAAAGGTGTGATCTTACGTATGTATGGTTATGACAAAATTTTAGGCAAATTTCTAGTTTGATCTATGCAAGAGTAAAAAATATTTTTATCAGTATTTATAACTTTAAGGTAGGTTTGGTTGCTTTTAACAAAAGTCGACTTACCGATCGATGATGACTGGATCTGAAGGGGTTTCGTTTCTATTACCACAACTCTTCTTGTCACAACACCGACTGTAAATAAACACTGGAATTAGTATTAATGTCTAGTCTTTGGTCGAAACACTCATAATTGATAGCAAACCTTATTTCTAGTGCTATAAATCATATTTTAGTAAATAACGTACCCTATCACCTAAAAGTCTTCAAACTTATATTTACGTACAAAATAACATCAGAGAGTACAATAAATTCTCAATATCGGGACACATTAGGGCGATCCCCTGTATTTTTAGCCGAGTAAAGGGATACCTGTACCGTATGGGGATGAAAATCAATAAATTGTTAGTAAAAGTACCGAAGGGTTTAGATGCAATGTGTCACTCATAACATTCATATTTATAACGGTTACAAACATACATTTTTTGTTCTAATATTCAATAAAAATATTTTGTACCTTTGTCATTGGAGTATGCCGAAATTACTGAACCAATTTGGATGATACTTCAAAAGTTTGTAAACGGGTTTTAGTGTGGAGTTATATTTACTACTAGCTGTTACCCGCGACTTCATTTGCGTGAAATTATTCATATTTCTTGTTAATTTATACTTTTTTGACGTGACAACGTGTTGATTGGCGAGGCGTATTTGAGAGCTAGTATGAAACGGAACGTTTATTGCCTACTCAAGATGGCGATTGCGGTTTGTCTGTCAGTGTCATTAAAATGAATATTAATAAAACGAAATAATCTCCGTAATCTAAATTTTGCGGATATATGTTGTCGACTTGAAATCGATATTTTTTATGTTTTGTTATTCAGGCAATGTTTCGATCGAGTCTACCGTACCCCTTGACGAAATTATTAATATATATATTGTATTTGGATAATGAAAAAAGAATTTTGCAAACCAGACTTTGAAAGGAATATGTAACTCGCACTAGTCTGCTTATCAAAGATTATGAAGACATAAACAGTTATAGTGTTTTTAAAAAGTAATGCATAAAAATAATTATCTTTAATATTCTACCCTCTGTACTGGTTGTAGCATTCCAATTTCATACTTTGGACTTTACTTCGACTGTAAAACTGCACGGTTGGTGCGGTGGCTGGGCAACCGGCTGCCGTGCAAAGTGTCGCGAGTTCGATTCCCGCACGGAACAACACTTTGTGTGATCCACGAATTGTTGTTTCAGGCCTGGGTGTCATTGTGTATGTGAACTTGTATGTTTGTAAATGCACCCACGACACAGGAGAAAATCCTAATGTGGGGCAACGTTTAAAAAAAAAGAGACAATGACCTCTGAGTTTTTTTTTCGGCGTTTCTTCTTAAAGTAGTCAGTTAGGAATTTGTCTAGTAACTTCAAGATAGACGTGTGTGTGTGAAAAGTGTTACTTTATAACCTATTTGCAGAAATAAATATCATTTCATATCAAACTGATCTTTTCTTAGCCAAAGTTCAAAAACTGCTTTAACAAACTTTAAAACCGCCGGTCATATCCACGCTAAACAAACAATACGCTGCACGCGCCCTACCGGGACTCCTTGACGCAAAGGGCAAAGACATTGAAAGGACAGACTCCCTAGAGACTCCTCCCCTGAAGACGTGCGACAGGAACACACATATCCAGCAAAAAGAGACCACGATACACCGTCTAAGGTGGAATAAAATTTTAATTGCTCACACTGACGCGATGTAGTATCGCCATACACACTTACATTGATAGAATGGCGAGACACAGTACGTTTACGAGCGGAAAAACCACCCCAAACAAATGGTTAAATTAATAAGGATGCTCGTTTCTTTGTTCGCCCGCTCGTAATTAGGAAGTTACAAGATGCCTTCGCTTAAAACTGTTGTTACTTGTTTACATTTCAAATGCTTGCACAGTTTTATTTGGATTAAGTTAATATTCTTAGACTCAATTTCACTGTTAATATTTAATGAAACTAACTTTCTATTCGTTTACAAACTTACTTTTACTCACAGTCTTATACAAAGGAAATTGTCATAAAGTTATGAGGAATTGTAAAAGTATTAACACAGTCCTGCCTATCATGTATGGCCCACAAAAGCCTGCCATTTTGGAGAAACATGACCGTGCAATAATATTTTAGGAGTCAATATTTATGACAAATGACTATCGCGACCGTTTCTACGAAATGCGTAACGTCTTTTTTTAAATTTAGAATTCGAATAAAACGACCGAAGTTTTACGTACCAGTTACAATATTCATCGTATAATAAGGTTGATTTAAATATCGAACTTTTTTTTTAAAGAGGATTGCTTTTTACCCCATAAAGACCAATTATGAAAAATATTGTAGTTGTGCTTACCTGCACATAACTTCGTGTGTAAGTAGAACCCTGCACATTTCTGGATTTTTATCTTGTCCCTCGTATACAATAGGCTGAAACAAAAACGAACCATTAATATTTTCATACAACAATAGAACTTATGACTCAGAAATAAATTATAAATTAGTAACATAAGATAATGATATAAAATTAATTAAAAATCGTTGTGGAGATAAGATAAAATGGCTCGTCTTCATCAAGTTATTACTTTGGCTAATTCATGCACCCCCGCATGCATAATTATTGCATTTTATTATCTAAACCAAAAACTTATTTGCATAATTCCCGCATTGAATTCACGAAGCTGATAACATTTTTAAAATCGGTAAGTACCCGCCTTCTCTATTAACATAACGTCACGCTTTTTATTTGATTAGACAGACAGTGGTATAAAACTTAGTAAAATTCCTGAAATTACTGCGAAATGTGAACGGTATCTAAAACCAACGAAATCAAGTTGTATGACGAATGAGTATTATATAGAATACAGAAACAAAATTCATTTAAGATATCTTCAAACACGTACATATCGACTGAAAACTGAATCACAGTGAAAGTAAGAACATATAAAATGTTTCTTATTTTTTCATCTGGTAATACCAACCCCAACACGTGTACAGTGTGTTTATCTATTAATATCTAATTACTGGTAACCCCAACGCATATGGGGTACAAAATATTGTTAAACGTTATACAGAAAAAGTAATTAGTTTCATGGGAATTGCGTTTTCGATTAGTGATTTATTCATGCAAAATATGTTTCAATGTTCACAAAAATTCTGAATCAGTTTAGTTACTATTGTTGTGTTTAAATATGTTACTTACTACTAAAACTAAATCCTTATTCGAAAAAAAGTCTAACAATTTCTTCTAAAGAATCCTATATATTTTTATCTAAAACAGCAACAATTTGTTTAACTATTACTTACACATTCAACACACAAACCCCTAAGCCCTAAATAGATTTTTTCATCCCTGACAAAATATTTAATTGAATATGAAACAGGGGTATTATCGTCTTTTGTACCATGGATTTATAAGGACTTTGCTTTGTATATTGTAATAGGTATCTAAGGGTCATACAAAAGTATTTAGGAACATCAAAATAGCTTAGGGGTCGTATTTTCTGCATTCGGCTTAAGTAAGGGGCCGGGATCAGGTGTCGATGTAAATCAAATAGATTTTCCTACCATTTTGTTCTGTAGTTGCTATAATTAATATTCTTAATGACTGAATGATATTGATATATTACTTAGTATAATTATGTAATAAAATAAATATTTTTAGAAGACCTAAAGAATATGATTTAGTAAATAGATCAAGATCGTCGTTTCAAGAGGTTGCAAAAAGCGACTTGAGATTAGTCCCTTGTATGATAATTGTGTATTCTATAGGCTGAATCCTCATGTATATAAAATAAATATGGGTTTGCCTACAAGGAAACAAACTTCACGCATATTCTAACCCAGTACTAGTGAAAAAAATCGAAAAGTATTCAACTAAAAAGTCTTACCTACTAAACTTACAACACTATAAAGAAGAAATGTATGTAACCTTCTTTTAAACTAGGATAAAAACACTAGAATGGATAGTGGTGTGAACTAACATTTTTCAAGTTCACTCCTTGAATTGAGAGAATCCCCCAGGATGTCTGGGGTTGACGCCGCACTGGGCATAGTCCGTCGCCTGGGATTCAATCTCTGGGGAATTAGTGTGGACTTAAAAAAATAGATAATAGTGCTGTCAATGTTAGTCAGTCATGGTTGGTTATTAATTATGTATGGGCTACTGTTATGTTTTTTTTTTTTGTAATAGTTCATACATTGGAAGATACCGTATGAAATAAATATTACGAAGTTAGATGCTGCTTTAAATTCAAACTAATCATCAAATTGTGTTATGAAAATGGTTATGGAAAATTCAATAAAATAATCATGTGTCAAATTGTCCTAACCTTTGGGACTCTTTTATTTATAAAATCTAAAAGGTGCACTTTAAGAACACATGGTAAAAAAAACATAATTTAGATTACGATTGATCAGCATTATACTATCTAAACTAGATTGAATAAAAACAGATTGAAACAAAGGAGGTAATCGTCTAAAATGTCACGTAACATTATCTTAATAAGTCCGTACAAATCGAGTGACACGCAAAAGAGTCGTTCACAAAAATGGCGATGAAAAGATGTTCGATGTAATAGTGAGCTGCGGTCGATTTAATTGTATTAAAACGTTAGGCTGTGGGCACACGGGCAATCAGCTAATGCCGTGCGGTGCATGCGAACGGGACACGCAACTCTTGTTTTGGTAAGATACAAAAATAAGCAAGAATTGTCGTTTAAGTGCAAATTATGTCAATCGTCAAAGCACTTACTCAGGAAAATTTCCCCAATGTATTTTTTTTTAAGGGGGGAAAATCATCGAATGACTGTTCCCGCCTGGGTGAGGCGGGAGGTAGTGTCAGATTCTTACTGACTAAAAACCACCCCGTTCCTTCTCCTGCACGTCGAGCCGGAGCCCCGGTTACCCGTTAGGTTCTCCGCGACTCCCCAATGTATAATACATAGGAATCTTTGACATTGATCGTAGTATGAGTTGTTAGAGAGACTACAGATGTTAGAAGACTTAGAACAAAAGATAAATAACATTAAGGCAAAGTTACTCTATTACACCACGCGAAATTTTACACTAAACCGAGCATGGAAGTACCACCAACTATTTGTGTTCCCATACTAAATCACTATCATATCAATATCTAAAACATCAATCTGCCCACCCTATGTTTGAGTATAGTCTTAAGATACTGACTCATAGTTCGTCGAATGAGATTGGAGTAAATCCCATAGAATGGGCCATGGTCTGAATTGAGAGGCGTGTGTGGCGCACGTGGCGTCATGATTATGTTTATTTAACGATGTTCAAACAACATATTAATTTAGTTGCCTTTTGTTCACGAAATGACTTTCGGAAGCTGGTATACGAGGTATTTTGAGGCATTTTTATTGAAAACATTTAGATTGAATTTCTTTGAAAATATAATGTACTGTGAATGTGAATCAGTAATTGTCAGGTATCTTTTCTATTCATAATATACTTAGTTTCATCGATTGTTACACGGAATATTTTATAAGTATTTTATTTTATCTGCAACCAAATACTCAATCAAATTCTCAACTTAAGTAAAATTAAGTTCAATACACTGCACGGTTGGCGCGGTGTTTGGGCAACTGACTGCTGCGCAACGTGTCGCGGGTTCGATTCCCACACGAAACAACTCTTTATGTGGTCCACGGATTGTTGTTCCGGGTCTGGGTGTCATGTATGTGAACTTGTATGTTTTTAAACACACCCACAACACAGGAGAAAATCCTAGTGTAACGTTATTTAAAAAAAAAAGAATACATAATCTTTCTGTGTATATCCAAAGCAGTCTTATTATTATCAATGTCTATGAAAATGTGTAAAAGTTTTCAATAATTTCTAAATCAGTCAAAGAAATGCATAGACATGAAAACACAACAAAATAAATTGTATAGAAGTGCGACTGCAGTAATAATAAAAATATCTAGAGTAAACTATTCTGGCGAGGCTGCCAAGCGACTTTGCTCCTTGCGTAAATCATTGTGCTTGTTGCCTTTTTTACTGTTCTTAGTACCATTTAGAACTACTGTACAAGGCAAAGACATTTACATATTAGAATTATATTTCTGTAACAGTTTTTATGATGATTTCATTGGAATCAGATAATTATTACATTACCAATTTTCGCCCCTAATTTACTAATATCATCAACAGCCTATAAGTAGCCAATGCTGATCTAAGGCCTCTTCTCACTTGGAGAAGTTTTTAGCAGTAATCACCACGCTTGTCCAAGCAGGTTGGGGAATCCAAACTTATAATTAGACATTATAACCCCATGTTTCCTCACAATATTTTCCATCACCGTTTGTTAGTGGTGTCTAAATTATTATAGAAAGTACATATAACTCGGAAAAAGTCACATTGGTGCTTGCCGTTGGTAGGTTTCGGACCCACACCCTCGTGGATGAGAAGCGAACGTCTTAAACTTCCGAGCCACCACGACATATTACTAATATTATAATTATGTTTAAACTGATGATTATTCAGACAATTATTTTATCTACACGACTCGACACGATTGATTAAGAACATGATTTTTGTAATAAGGTCAAATTTAACATCAGTGCTTCAGTCGAACCAAGTACGAACTGTAGTTGCTATGTTCAGCTCTGCATAAACCTATTACATCACAAATTCTATCAACTTTACTATACAATACAATAAGGAAATTAAAATATAATTCTACTTAAAAACTAGCTCCTACGCAAACAACATAGAGAACACAGATAAAACTGTACCAGTACAAGACAATTTCGCAGTCTCTATGCGTTGTCGTTCATGTAAATCACGCAAAATGCCGCGATGCAAGCACGTCTCGAGTCCACAGCACACTTTATTTGTTACTCGCTCATAAAACAAGAGTATCGTGCTTATGTTTGTGATAGAATATAATTTATTTCACGTTATAATATTGCGTGATTTGTTGTGCAGTTTGTTTGTTGATGTAAATAGAATAGTTATTAAAAATTTACAAGTTGATGTTAATGTGTTTGCGTCAAAGTTAATTATGTCATTAGATGAATTGAAAAGATCATCGAAAGGTGTGAAAAACCAACTGATAATTTGACTGCACGTTTGGTGCGGTAGCTGGGCAACCGCCTGCCGCGCAATATGTATCGGGTTCGATTCTCGCACAGAGCAACTTTTTGTGTGATACACAATTTGTTGTTTCGGGTCTGGGTGTATAGTGTATGTGAACTTGTATGTTTGTAGAAGCACCCACAATATAGTAAAAAATCCCAGTGAGGCAACGTTTATAAAAAAACAAAAAACAAATTACTGAAGCCATATTGCCTATCAGTTTTTATACGAATCAACAAAGATAGTATTATATATTATTTACATATAGTATGTATAATAATGTGTATCTATTATATTTCTATATTTTGTTGGAAGTATATGTATAAGTACTTATTTATATTTATTTTGTATGTTTTTATTGTATTATTTTTGTTAGTCTGTAAGTAGTTTTAATTATTAGTTTAAGTTTTCACTGTCTTCTTCTTGTTTGTTTTTTTTTGTTTTTTGTTGTTACACACTGTGTCATATGATGTATTTATTTCTCCTCTCGCAGGGCTGCAGGAAGAAATCCCATAAGGGATATGCAGTACCTATGTACCTCTGTTTTGTTATATATATTTTTTTTTTTCTTCTGTGTATTGTACATGAATAAATAAATAAATAAATAAATAAATAAATAAATAAATAAATAAATAAATAAATAAATAAATAAATAAATAAATAAATAAATAAATAAATAAATAAATAAATAAATAAATAAATAAATAAATAAATAAATAAATAAATAAATAATATTTTTTTTGCTACTACTTCAACTTTAAAGACGACAAACGTGAAAAATACTAACCTAGTACTTATAGGTATTTTCCTTATAGGTATTGTAATTTTTAAATAAATATGCATTTAAAACTGAACAATAACAAGAAACAATCAGAACCATTCACTGTTCCAATTTTCTGAACTACATACAAAAACATACACACATACATATAAATAAAACACGTTGTCTCCAAACACACACAATAACGGGTTACGATACAGAAGAAGGCTGCAGTAATAATTTCAAACAACCCTCTTGACAAGAGGCTTGGTATTAAGGTGCGGTGCAATTTAAATTAACCCTTACATATGATTTATTAAAGTGTTACTTGACAATATCGAATATAATTAACGCTGTATGCGAGTATGCGAGTATCTTAGTAAATATAAGGAAAATCTTTACAAAAATATGCAATGTTTTAGTTGTTTAATGCTTAACATTGAATACTTAATTGATTCTTTTTTTTTTAAATGTTGCCCCACCCTAGGATTTTCTCCTGTACGACACAGGAGAAAATCCTAGGGTGCGTTTACAAACATCCAATATCACATACACATGACACCCAGACCCGGAACAACAATCTGTGGATCACACAAAGAGTTGTTCCGTGCGGGAATCGAACCCGCGACACGTTGCGCGGCAGCCAGTTGCCCAGCCACCGCGCCAACCGTGCAGTGATTCAGTTTTATCTTTTCTTTTTTTATTTCAAAGGCAAATCAGCGTTAACACAGTAAACGCCGTGGGGGTCACCGGTGACCAACGTTAGTGGAGAAATGGCCTTCATCAGTTTTCTATTGGCAGTCAAAGGCTTAGGGATCAAGCTTATTTGTCTGCTATTGGAGAGCCAAATCACGTCCAACGTCAGACAAAATCGAGTTGATAGTGATCAGAATGACGACTTATAAGTGCACTTGAAAAATTTTTTTTATACTTAAGGCATAACTATGAAAACCGTCGTGGTGGCCCGGAGGTTCGCCCGCTTCTCGTGCATGAGGGTACGGGTTCGAAACCTACCATCGGCAAGTACCAATGTGACTTTTTCCGAGTTATGTGTACTTTCTAAGATTATCTAGACACCACTGACAAACGGTGAAGGAAAACATCGTGAGGAAACCTGAGCTTAAAATTTCTAATTATAAGTTTGTAATCGCCAACCCGCATTGAGCTAGCGTGGTGATTGATGCTAAAACCTTCTCCGTGTGAGAAGAGGCTATGCTCAGCAGTAGGCATTTATAGGCTGTTGATGAACTATAAAAAAGGAACACCATTACATAAATCAAATGTTTAAAAAGCTACGAAGCAAATTTTCCCTAAACTTTTTCGAGTAATTTATCCAAAGCCAAAAAACTACCCATAATACAAAACCGTGTAACTTATATACCGCATACGATTCCGTAATTCTTAGTTAACAACGTTCGGCCTAAGTTAATTATGTTCTCAACATAAATCTTTGGTAATTGGCCTCCTGTTACACAACACTAACATAGGACGTGTTGAAATTATATATGTGAGGTGTTGAAGTTTCATCATGTTTTACTTAACTATGTTATTTGTTGGGGTTTATAATTGCTGTTGATTGTTTCAGGAATTTTGTAGTGTATTTGATGATATTAGTTAGTTAAAAGTTGTGTTCATTCAATATTTATGTTTAGATTTAGACTAAAACATTATTCATAACGTAGCTTAAATAAATAGAGTTGGAAATGATAAACTTTCTTCTTAACGTAAAAGTTTCTTAATTACATTTTTACTGCACTAAAATCACTATTTTAAAAATGCAACCTAGTACGTTAGTCAAAGTATCTCAATTTATTATTTGTTCATTTCATCTTATCCCGTTACTTCTCACATTTAGTGTATTATTATTACCAAATAAAAATACAGTCGAATTGAGAACCTCCTCCTTTTTTTTGAAGTCGGTTGACAATAATATGAGGACCCTACAATATGTCTCATATGACAAACGGATTAACACCTACGAACAGCTGATCAAACCCTTTACGTCGATCAAAATCTTTCAACACGACACTCCCCATGCATTTTATCAAATTCTAAACTAAAAATAAAATAAAATCGTAACACGAGATAACGATAATGATTGTGCGCAAACGCAATGCAATTTAGTTGACCAGGGGGCGTGGGGATTAGGGTCTAATCAGACGGCGCGCGATGACAATCAGACGCGTGCTCATCACGTGTAGGTCACGTGGCAACATGGCGTACTTTTGGAAGAAACGTTTTAGGAATAACGTGACATCTGTGTTGGGAACTGTTTTTGAACAATTTTAATCTGAATGAAAGTAATAATGTAATTAACAATGTCTTACCTGTTTCGTCACCGAATCGATAAGTCGAACGAATATGTCTTGCTCTTGTCGGATACCTGTGAAAGATGACAATTACTTAATTTAAACATATATTTATAAAGAGAGCTAAAGAATAAAGAAGAAGAGACTTCCACATCCACAAGGAAAGTTCTTATTTTTCAAAAAAAAAAAAAGTTTATCAGAACAAAAGCATTAGAAATAATTGCATTGCTAACATACTGATACCATCTCTAACATGTTGTGTTTATATTAAGATCGTTCTAATTCTCGCTCCTATAAAACAGTAACATTTACACATAGTAGCAATAAAGATCGTAGCAAGCTACGAGCTACGGGCTACGGGCTACGAGCGTAGCGACGTAGCAGCAGACATTGCACAATTTGTTAACCTCCTAGAATTGCCTCTACGCTTGCTTCTCTCCTTTTAGAGTTCCGTATTCCAAATGGTTTGTATTAACTTTACTTTAGAATTGCATTTTTTTAAACTTGTAGTTAGAAACTTGACACAGAAAGTAGTACCTAACCAAGTGTTGACTCCAAAATGATTTTTTTCATAAAATACATTTAAGCCTTTCGAATACGTTTATAATACACACAGATACTTTGCAACATAAATAAAAACATTATACTAATATAATATTAATTATTTTATTTTTCTAATCTCCCTCACAAACCAATATTCGTACGAAAACGTCATAACACATTCCCAAAAGCATTTTTCTAAAACTAAACATTAACTCATATATCGGACGACTTAGTCTAAGAGCTTTAGTGCTATCGTCATTCATAGTCCAGGAGCTCGCTGTTCTGTGCCAATTTTCCATTATCCCTGGTCTAGCGGCAAGACGGCAAATATTTACAATGCGACCACCCTGTATAGTCTGTGTTGTCACCGACGACTGTTGAATACGAGATTGAGCTTTACATTTGATTTATACCTTCTTGCTATGGAATAATGGCCATAGTTGCTTGTATAAATGTTTATATGAAATAGTTAAAAGTTAAGAAAGGTAAGACGGTTCGGAATAAGAAATTTTAATTTTGTTGCCTCGCGTAGGTCTTGCAAAAAATAATAATCGCTTGTCATTATTAATAATTTTAATAACATTTTTTATATTGATAGACATACTGACTAACTAATCAAAACACCTATTAGCAAAACTCAATTTAAAAACCTAATTCAATTATTAAGAACCAACCCTACATCACTATGCTACTTCGATCTTAGAAGCTTGAATAGCTATTGACGACAATAGCATGCATGACAGTACGACAATGCCCAAGTCGGGCAATATTTGCTCAACTCCCGTCTGCAGGGCGATAATGCTTTGCGCATCACTGTATTGACGGTCGAGACGAAGTGACTATACAATTATGTCAGTAACTGTACCTAATATAGGATGCTTTTGGAAATGTAACATGGCTAGTTAGGGTGTTTATGTGTCTCAGATTATATCAAATCTGGATTTATTTTACCTTAGTGTGATGATTTTCTACTATTACAGTTTGTAAAGTTTTTTGCAAAAATAAAAGTTAATTATATAGAACATAACATAACATCACGCCTTCTATCCCCGAAGAAGTAGGCAGAGGTGCATATTATACCACTGTACAATGTAACACCCACTTTTCACTATTTATGATATAAGTATAAGGGGTGAGCCTATTGCCATATACCGGGCACAATTCCAGACTCCGTGTTACTACTGAGAATTTTTAAAAACCCTGTAATACTTTGACCGACCCTGGGATTGAACCCGAGACCCCTTGCCCGGCAGTCGCACTTGCGACCATTCGGCCAATGAGGCAGTTAATATATAGAACAGTTAAATGCACGTCTTTTGGTATACCTCTAGGATGATAATGAGATTTCAATCAGTAAATTAGTACCTAGTTACCGTTTGTACTAATAATGATATTACATAGTCAATTTAATACTTCGAAACAAGATTTTGTCATTAAGTTTCACTTAACAGTTTAGTCTAAAAATTGCCATTTCTATGTGCTCCATCGTAGGCCGCATAATCGCTTACCACCAGGCGAGATAGTGGCCAAACATCGGCCTACTAAATATAAAAAAAAATCTTTATCCTACCATTGAAGCACTTTTTACATCTTCAACTCAACTAATATAAATGTATAAATCCAGCAAGCAAGCTTACCCAACAGAATTTTCCTCAAGCTATAACATAAACGAGGGGATTTGTCCAGAGAAATATCTCCAACCTCGTCATGGAGTAACCCCAAAACTGAGGAAGATAGTCACTTACCATTTGCATAAAGTAATTGAAGTCTGTACTGGATGCCATTGTTCGTCTTCTGCCCTTCAACTTCCTGTAACAAAATGTTATGGTTAATGGAACAGCCTGTGTATAAAAAAGAAATGTTGTAGTGGCACTGAGGTTATGGTATCTATGTTTTTCTCAAACTTGAGAGGTGTGCAGGCTACTATACACACATACGTACACATGTGATTTTGTTCAAATTACGATTTTTTTATAACAATACAAATCCAGTTTCCTATGGCCTCGCTTTCCATAATTTGTCCAGACATTCAAAGTTCACTTTATACTGGTTTTTCATAGTTCGTTTTTTTGTAAGTCCATACATATAATTAATAGTGTAAATCAAACGCAAGTTATGTGGGTTCAAAACTCTCGTATCGTCAGATGTGTTCGAATGCTTGCTTTTGTTATACAATGTTTGATTTTACGCTTGCATTCTTTTATAGATTATACATACATTATCTTAATTCAATTGAAACTTGCTTTTGTGGTTTATTTCTTTAATTGAAATCTTGCTGTCCAGTCTGTGCATTTAGAATTTTAATCCTAAAATCCTTATAAGCAATAATAATATCAATAACATTTTGTACGGTTTTTCAAGACTTCATCGTAATGAAATGTTCAGTTAGTCTACTATTTAATCCTAATAAATAAATGTAACAAAATGGTTTCGCTGCAAACCAATATTGAATTTAAAAAAGCCTAGAGTGAGAATACTTAACAGTATGATGTAAAGTGCGAGCCGCATTCAGTAAAAACACGAGCATGAATGTTTACTATATGAATAATTAACACGACGCCAACAAACAAGACGTGTGAACGCGCCAACGCCCTCTGTCGACAGACATTGTAACCTATATTGGAGACATATTTTTTCGTTTTTTTTTGTCATTTGTTTTTCTGCCAGTAATATCGATATGTATTATTTGGAAATGCGGTTTTAAATAAAACTTTTTATTGTTTCCTTAATTTATTGCGTGTTGGTTGAGTTGCGACCATTACTTACGCTTTCAATGCTTTTAAAATTTGATTTCAAATGGTTTTTTATTCAAATGATCGTCAAAAAAGTATCTTCAAACTAAAACAGACCGATGTATATCAAGAGTTAAATTTTAACACATGCCACCAACACGCATGCGTATTATGTAAATAAGTATTGTGCACACAATAGAAATCATGTCGAGCCGATCCTGATTGATGAACTCCAGTGAATTCAGTGATTCGTATCTCGTTTCGAGTATTTCTTGATAAACTAACAATATGACGCCGTATTGAAAGGGACTAACTAAGTTGATAGTAAGGCAGACGCCGCGTAATCGGCTCAGTAGTTTTACTGTTTAAACATTCGTTTTTTTTAATCGTATTTACAATAAGTACAGGATTATCCATTTAAAATAGCAACCAAAATCCAATATAGAGTCTAGGATATTAGGCTTTGTTGCAAAATAAGAAGGTTTAAAATCAATTATGTAGAAATACAGATTGAGGTCACGTGATTTGCAATTAAATTTCAAATTTTACTGTAAGTTCATTCACACGTAATTAAAAATCATGTCCATGCAAGATGTGGATGAATGAGTGTGTATATATAACAATAGTTACATATTTACCTGATCTTTCTCAATAAATCCAATGAAGGCGGTGCGTTCGATTTCAACTGGTTGTCCCGCTCTATCATAGAGTGCGACCACGAAATGGAAGAAGTTGCTCTTGCGCAGGTTACTGGGTGGTTGCTTCTCGAAGTGTGCACGACCCACGCCTACGCTACTGTTGGAATAAATAATTATATTAAAAAACAAACTATTATATTTCTGCATGCATTTGTCACTATATCGGATAATAATGTGAAGAATTTCAAATCTTTTGTTGGCCTATTTAAATTAGTTCTTCAAATTAATAATCTGTTTTTATTTGAAAAATACTTTAATATTCCAGAAAGGGTTAGTTTTCATAATTTATATGTCAAACTTAATTATGTACATAACCAAACAAATCATTTCAAACTTAAGCACACACGACACAACTGCTACCAAAATATAAATTCACCATGAAGTTTACGAACAAAAAATACGGAACCCAAATTCTGAGATCATAAATTATCACATTTCTTCCACAGTTACTTTATTTCCAAACTGTAATTTGTCAATAGACACGTTGCCGCCAAAACTAACCGCGCCATTGTCACAGACCACAGACTAAACAAAAACTACAGATAAACAATGGAAACAGATTATAATCCTTTAAAAATGATTTATTGCCTTTACCGTTACTGAGAATGTAGATTTGCAAGTTAACTGTGGTTATTATTTCGGTTTACGGTTAACCCTTTCTTATTCACGTACTGATGACTTAATTTTCTTACAAATAGCAGTGTTAGCTATGTCATTGTTTGGCTCAAAGAATTGCGGTGACATTTTTTTTAAGTTAGCACAATTTGCCATACTTGGAATATTAAGCATTTTGTGATGTGAACCAATGAATTAGCTACACAGCTGATGCTTTGTGTATTCGTTTAGAATATTTATTTTTTAAGTTCTATCCAAAAATAGATTAATATTCGAAAGGAATCTTAAATTATCGATAACACTAATGAAGTGACGATGTATGAATAGCATCGCTTGAACACACACATCGATATCGACATGTGTGGCTGTTCGAATTTCGAAAATAATTGCAATTTTACATTTACCATTGCGTTAGTTCTTATAACTTAGGTAATAAGGTTTATTTTTCTGGTAATGACTGTATGTAGAACTGTTGAATGAATGTATCGATAGAACATTTGGAATGTGTGCAGTTCATCAAATCTTCGGTCTCATTTCTCATTGTTGTTTCCCGTAAATGTGCTTGTGTTTAGGGATGTGATGTTAAGCTACAATGTTAGTACAATGTATGTTTTAAATGGTATTCTACGATGGATAAAAATAGACTTTTATGAGTTATGTTCATATTGATTTAATTAGTAACAGTTATTTTACCCGATGTTTTTATCCCATTTTTATACAAAAGATTTTTTTCTAAAATGATGATGTCATGTCATCATTTAAAATGCAAACAATTACTCTGACCACGTATAAGTCTGCGTTCAATTTAGTATCAAACTCAGCCAAACTCACAGAAACATTCCCTTACCAATATTATTATGCCAAACGAAATGGTATTCTCAAAATCCTCGATACCGCAGTAACATCACTAGAGCACATTACCCACCAGGACCGTATTACGCTATGGTTGCCCATACATCTCTCCCCGCTGCAGAATTTGCGTAAACAAATTGGTTTCGCGATTGCCATTTTATACTCTCGCACGCGACACTCCATTGTTTTATTTATCGTTACCAGTTTCGGCGGCGCGTTCGCGATTAGGTTGCACTGCTTTTTCCGCTTACAGATCGCGAGCGTTTTGTCAATCTTTAGCTATTTTTTTAGAACTGTGTTTTTTGCGTATGTTTTTTTTTTAGAACAGAACGTTTTTTCTTTGTATTTTTTCCTTTTTGTGGCTTCGATTGTTTTAAAAAGGTGTTGTTTATAATTTGATTTAAAATCATTTTAACTCACTTACTAAATACTCTTGTACGCGACACTATTTTTTTTTTATTTATCGTTACTAGTCTCAGCGGTGCGTTCGCAATAAGGTTGCACTACTTTCTCCGCTTCCAGATCACGAGCGTTTAGTCAATCTTTGACTAATTTTTAGTCAAAGATTGACTGTGTTTTTTTTTACCTATATTTCTTTCTTTATTTTGGAATAGCACGACATTTTTTGTCGACATTTTTTGTTGGTTGTGTATATTATAGTGGGTTTTTTAATTAGAATTCAAATTAAACTCGCCTTATTCACTGACAAAAAATCCACAGCTTATAATTAATTTAATTTTTACAGGAACGTATTTCACTTTCTACAATTTGTATAGAATATTATATTAATTTGAAACAAATAAAACCGAATTCCACAAACACTAACCCAATTAAATTCAACTAATAACTCAAACGAACCTCCTTTTATGGAACGCGAACAATTATTATTCGCGTGTACAGCCACTCTTAGACGGATCATTACCTAGTAATGTAATTTATTAAAAACGCTAGTACGCGGGTGCGGCTTAATGATTTACTAGCAAACAAATGAGTCTGTCATCGCCGACGGGTAGGCTATCTGTCAACATTTGTCATCCCAAGACCCGGTGATTGCCCACAATTAGTATAATTAGTGACCTATTGAGAAATTAATTTGCTAACGTATGTAACCACACCTCTTTTATTTTAATTAAATACTGTTTAGTTATGTTATATTTTTAATGGATAGTTTGTCAGTGTCATTCTTGTTTTCGAATTATTATTTTTTTCTGTGGTATCTGAGTAATTACATATTAGGTATATGGATAGTATGGGTAAAATTAATCATACGATTACCTGTCAACAGAATGAAATAATAAAAATAATTAATATATTTTATATACCGCTAAACTCCACTCAGACTCAACTGGTCAACAGCAAACCTTTTTTTTTAATCACTATATCAAAATATTCCAAAATACCAAACGTAAAACTGGTCACAAGTAAATAATGAACCTCAACTGAATTAAAAACAACATTAAACATAATTAATCTAACCAACTACTTCAGACAAAACAAATAAAAACAATTGAAAGTAAATATTTTAAGGAACGCACTGACTAAAACACGACAGATGTCGGAAGGGCGCTCCTCTATGATTCTGTGCAAACACAATACCTCCCTAATTCGCAGTCGGTGCACCAATACGTCACATTATACAGCATACCAAATGTTTATTGTTGCGCAAGTGTATTATATTATCATAAAATGTATGGGTTTGTTCGTTTGTCCTTAGTAAATTATGAGTTCGAATAAAGAATGGTGATAGTATAGAATTTTGTGAACAAAATGTTAGTTATGAAATTACTATAGGGTGTTGTTTAGAATTAATCCTTATTGTAATGTGATTTTTGTTTTGTTGTGTCAGGCATCAACTTGTTTGCTATTTTCGACAGTAGACTAGACTGTTACATCTCTAAAATTAGGAAAAAATATCGTAAAGATTTTCTACCCAACTTTACTACTACCTGTCTAGAAGGATGATTCAATTCAGCCTATTTTCTTATCATACAAATGATATAGAAAGTTCCTATTTTAAACACGTTTACTCATTTAAAAACAACAACAATACCTTAAATAAATGATGCGGGTACAATCGCAAACTATACTCTGTGACCTATACGGTACAGTATTGCCTGCACTGCCCCTGCATCGCCTGCTATGATTTATAGCGCCCTTTGCTTTTATGAATACGCACTTGTTACCGCATGCTTCATTATGGCCGTGCGAAATTTGTACGCCCCTGATTGGATACGTGATAATAGAGCCATTGTACTTATCAGGGTAAGGGTACAGGTGATTGGTGTTTCGTAGTTGTCCGTGTCATGCTAATTGGGTTTGGTTTATAAAAAAACTATTGTTGGTATGTACTGATGATATTTGACTCTAGTGATCTAAACTTTATTTAGACCGTGTTAGAGTTTGTTACAGATTGTTTTTTTTTATTTGCCCACCGTTATAACGTTTACCGTTTATTTGTTGGTTTCTTTGTTATCTAATTGTAATTTGATTGTGTTATGGTGCAAATAGACTGTTCTTATTTCTTCTTTTTCTTATTCTAAATCGGTTCTATGTTAGGTTTGTGTTTATTTATCTTTTCGTTTTAGTTATGGAACCGATGATAAAATTCACAAGCCATATTAAAATCATGAACACTTAACCCTTTGAGTACCGTCATTTTAGACATAATGAAATAATAGGTTGCGGTCACTGGTGTCCTCGCGGCGTTTGACAATTTAAGCAAAATGTTTATTGCTGCAGAATAAAATAGGAACGGAATTCAACTAAACAAGAACAAACCGTTTGTTACACAAAGAAGCATCTTCGCGAACTATATTCTCATTCAGATCAAAAACCGCATCAAAAGTAAACCCATCCAGTTACGACTACCGGACGCAGACAAACATATTGATTGACAAGAACCCCACAAAAAGCCGCATTAGGAAACCGAACTTAATCCCTTACAGTTATTTAATGTCAAATAGGGTACGTTTTGCTCCCAATTCGAAGAGCGCTAATACAATTTCGTTTGCTATAATAAGTTTAGTCCGATGCTCTTTTCGGTCACTAACAGGTTTAACAGCGTATCAAATGAGGGTACTTTGTTTGTGTACAACCACCATTTTTCTCTAAATTATAATATTTTTGTCACATGCTATTTGAGGGTTGACGATATTAATGTGGTTTCAATTCTTAATATCATTGCAATTAATTCTCTACAAGGAAAGTAAAATATCTTTACTTTTCTTTTTTTTTAGAAAACTTTGCCTCACGCTAGGGTTTTCTCCTGTATCGTGGTTGTGGTTACAAACATACAAGTTCACATACACATCACACCCGGACCCGGAACAACAATTTGTGGATCACACAAAGTGTTGTTCCGTGCGGGAATCGAACCCGCGACACTTGCTCGGCAGCCGGTTGCCCAGCCTCCGCACCAACCGTGCAGTCTATAGTGGAGTCAGTCATATCATCCTATAACTTTTCCATACTCTCTCTCTCTCTATCTCTATGGATATCTGTTCTGCACCAAATTAAGTATGTGACAAATACAAATATCACAACCAACTCTCCTCTTTTATATGAACCCATAGTACTCAAACTCAAATCTTCACGAAACTTTCTCAATAAACTCTCTATACAATAACACTACAAAATCAAAAAAAAATGTTCAATACTTACACAGTTCACTGCGAACACATAGACCCAGTGAAAAACTTATTTTGATTTTATTTCAGATGACTTACTTGGTATTATCAACTAGTGAAGTTGGAGTCATCCATGCCCGAGTGAGGGGTTCTTCCTTTAGTGAGGTGACAGGCCCTCGGGGTTGAGCGTGGATGCCCCCCGCCGCCTCCTGGTGGTGCAGGCCGAACATCAGTCCGCCTGTAAGAACATCACTATTAGAAGCACACTGGTACATATTAAAATCTCAGGATCATGAAGGTCCTGTGATGGTAGAAGAATTGGACATGATCTATACATATAATAACCGCCCTGAGGACACGGTGGAACACACGGTGGGAGAATGCCCTTCGTGGGCTGAGCACCGCCGTGTCCTCAGGGAAGTGATCGGCGATGGCGACCTCTCGCGTCCGGGCCTAGTGCAGGCCATGATGCGGAGCGAGGGGGATTGGGATGCCGTCTCCTCCTTTTGCGAAGCAGTCATGCTAGCTAAGGAGGAGGCGGGACGCGTGAGGCAGCGAAGCGCTGCCTCCTCGCAACCCAGCCATCGCGAAGGACACACCGGGCGTCGGGGATCGCGGGACGATCTCCGGCCACCGTAAGCGTGGGCCTGCGGACGGCGAGCATGGGTGGCTCCCCGTCCGACCAGAAACAGACCCGAGCGTACGGCGCGTCGCGTTCCGCGCGCGCCTCAAAGAGCCATCAGACCACCACAGATGGGGTCCAATAGGGCCGATGCCGATTCGGAGTCGCGGAGAACCTAACGGGTAACCGGGGCTCCGGCTCGACGTGCAGGAGAAGGAACGGGGTGGTTTTTAGTCAGTAAGAGTCTGACACTCCCTCCCGCCTCACCCAGGCGGGGGCAGTAATTCGATGATTTTCCCCCCTTAAAAAAAAAAAAAAAAAAAAATACATATAATAAAATCGTAGGAAAGTGAAAACTGTACATCGAATATTTTTTAAAAAAATGTTTGTGCGTGGTCTACAGTCGATACTGAAACCAAAAATATGGTTATTAGAATTTTTGTGGTTTGTCTGTATGTATGTCCGGGATGAACTCAAAAAGTGCTGCATGTATTTATTCTTAATTGTGCATGAATATAACTAACAGGTCGGGTCAACATATAGGCTACGTATTACCATGCTATCAACTACGGGGGAGGAGCTGTGAATCACTATTCCACGCGGATGAAGTCGCGGGGTCAGCTAGTATGACTATAATAATAGAGCTATCGTATCGTATAATAATAGACTAAATTAACTAAATAAGTGTTTTTAGTTAATAGTACCTATGATTATTATGTTTGTGGCAGTCAATATTATAAGTAGATTTAAAAGAGTAGTGATCAATTATTACCAAAAATTTTCTAAAGGTATTGACAGAGTTTTATGTGAAATAGAATTCATTGGATATTTATTGTAAAATGGAGTCCTAACAAATTTTATAAGTAATACCAATTTTTACAACGGTGACTACCATTATAAGCTTTCAATTGCATAATAAATTTTTATCATGAGTTAATTTATTATCAAGTTTTTATCGTTTACATAATGTATTGTAAATGCTGTGTAAAATATTGAAATGCAAAAATAGGTATATATATTCTTTTGTTTTATTATATTTGTAAACTATAATAAGAGCCATATCAAAATCTTTAACTTTCCAACATGCAAAACTTTAATAAAACCAAATATTATTTGCTAGTAAGTGCTCTTCACTTAAATATATGGAGCTAACTGGAATTATTAAACCAGTATTTGTTTGTTTTAGAAAAGTCTAATAATACATGAAAATACTGATGAATGTAATGTTGAATGAAATGAATAAATGAATCGTAACAATCGGCGTTCCATGGTCTCTGCCTGCCCCCATCGTAGACAGGCGTGAAGTTATGTTTGTAAGTATGTATGTAGAAAATTGTAAAGTAAAAAAAATAGTTCCAAAATTATATTGTCAGTTCATTATTACTTTAAGTTAGTAGAAAATACTGTTATATTAAAGTTTTGACGTATCATTAAAGGGGACTGAAACTTTATACATGTATGTATGTAGATATTTTTTTACTCTCTATTTCCTACTCATAATTTTAAACTATAGTCTTTGCACTTGTAAAAAGTGCAGTATAGCTGTAATAAATATATTGCAATTCTAAAATAAATCATTATTAGTCGCGTGCGAAGTCATTTCCTGAATCATTTCCATAATTACAATACAAATTATAACATAAAAAATCGTACACTTTAATCAGAATTTCAATTCTGATTTTATAAACAGCTCTAATTTTTTATTTGCTAAGAAATTCTTAGGAAAATTACCTAGGAATAAATATACTTATCGTTTATCATTAAGTACATTTCAGTTATTAAAATTGTAATACGATTTCTTCCCATTTTCTTACAAACTACTCATTAAAAAATCCTTGCAGTTAGAAATAAGACTTAAAAGTTTTACCCCAGTTGCAACTTGACTTGGAACATTTAAAGAAATACTCAACAAGTCTAAAAACAATATAAAAGTTTATATCTATCAATTAAACTATAATAAACTAAGTTCTCGCTAAGACGGTATGAATTAGTCTACAAATTAATTACTACGCCTGCTACGCTCATTTGTTATGCTACGCCGTAGCCGCTTCGTAGACTTGATTATATCAACACTTTGAATTCAAAATGAAAATGATTTACCTTAATTAAGAGCGGTAACAACACTTTTTTGTGTTGGTTGATTTAGTTTGATTTAAACTCTAAACATTTAAAAGTAAGTGTAGAAAAGTATTGGTGACTATCTAGAACTAATATTTATTTTATTCTGGAAGCACGTAACGGGTAGGAAATTGTTAAAAACTTTTTGTAGCTTTTTGCTTGATATGTTTTTGTTGAAAAAATATACAAGGTATTGAAACATTTTCTGTACACCAGAAATAAATAAACAACTTGGGGATGAAAAATGATCTCTTGGACATATTTTCGTGGTACATACCTGAAGATCTTGGGGCTCCCGAAGGGTATAGCTTTCGTCCCCATCCCACGGGGTCGAGTTCCAGCGGCGGCCACGGTGAACCCGTGTACCCGCCCGCCGCCGCGTTCAACTCGTCCGACCGAATCTCGAATCACGACACGCACCCGATTACGCGCCCGAAAGCGCACGAACACCCCCGGAAAATCACGAACTACGCCGAAAATTACGTTCAAAATTTAAATTCTTATTTTTATTTCACTTTCCTTTTAAACTAAAAATATTACTTATTTATTTTTATTCTTGTAGATTTTTTTCGAATTAACTTCGAATAATCGTTTTTTTTTTTATGTTCAAATGTTCATATTTGAAGAACAATTTACCGCAAAAATAATTTAAGCTTCAGTTAAAAAAACACAGAAAACCCTCAAAGAAATAACACAAAAATCATCCGTCGTTAAAAAGTACGTTTGGAAAAAATACTTCAACTTGGTTTCAACTATCTGTTGTATAACTATCCGGTAGGCGGCTCTGTGTTATCGTATGTGCGTTCAGGGATCGAGTCCCGGTTGTGCGGGCGATCCCGCTGTGAATTTGCGGAACACTAACAAGCGTCGCGGGAGAGCGGCGCCGAGTGCCCGGGCTTCGCGGCGCCCCCGTCCGTCCCCGCGGACTGGGGGAGGCGCCCTGGGGACACGCCCTCGCCTCAAGAGCGGGACAGATACACCGGCGCAGGTGGCGCCACTTGCACACCTTCATTTCCTTCGAAAACAAAAAAATACTCAATAACATTCCTTTAAATGATATCTAAAAATCCTATTTGATTTTTTCATCCACGATTTCAACACACACGAGTAGATTTATCGACGCGTATTATGGTAATGGAGGGACGTTGCGGGGTTTCCCTTTGAGACCGCAGCACGCGCGCGCGAGTAAGGGATAGCGGGATAGATGAGACGCACAACATCTCGCTGGACGCGCCGAGCCGAGCTCAGGGACGGCCCACGCCACGAGTATTACTTATTAAACCCAAGTTAGATTGACGATGATGAAATTTCAGTGGGAATTGACTTTAACTGCGACCGAGATGAGGTTTTGTCGCCTCATTAATTATATGTAAAGTGTTCTGTATGTTTGAACGTGAACAAATCGGAGCACGCTAATGCTGTCGTTAAAATAACGTTTTGGGTCGTTGACACGACGTATGCCGTTGATTTATATTTGGAGACTGAAATTAAATTCAGAATATTGGAGAACATAGGTGTCTAGAGGACGCTTCAGTCATAATGTTTTCTGGAATATTCTCGAACGAGCTCATTCTAACATTGTATTAAGAACTTTATGCAATAGCGTCTACGTCTAAATGAAAGTGTAGATGATGACTTACACACAATCGGTCACGATTTCTTCTCTATTCTCAGACAAAAACCGACTTATGTCTAAGTAAATAATAGTTTATAAGTTCTTTTGAGGTTACCTCAGGTAATTCTGCACTTCTTGCTGACGTAGGTACTGAAACATAAAGGTTTTAGTAAATGCAAAATAATATTGTGCACAATATAAGCCTGTAACATCAACTGACATAAAATTCAAATGTGTGAATTGCGGAAATTCAAATGTGCGGTTACAAATGCTGGTGTTAATCCTTCAGGGAATATTGTTACAGGGGTTTGTATACCTATATAGCTATAGTTATGTATCATGCTATCTGTTGGGATCTTTTTAACATTTATTAATTATGGGTCTCCATGGAAAATGGATCTCACGGCAACTATTGCAATATTACTTAGGGACTTAGGTTAGCTGTTTGAAGGAATTCGCAGAACTAAAAGGCAGTTTAGTTTCTGCGATATGGATGTCGATGTGATGGTTTGAAATGTGCACGAGATTTGTTCAATGAATCTAATATCTGCACTGCACAAGACTGCACGGTTAGCGCGATAGTTGGGCAACTGGCTGCCGCACAAAGTGTCGCGGGCTCGATTCCCGCACAGAACAACTCTTTGTGTGATCCACAAATTGTTGTTCCGGGTCTGGGTGTCATGAGTATGTGAACTAGTACCTCTATGTTTGTAAATGCATCCACGACACAGGAGGAAATCCTAGTGTAAGGGAATGTTTTTAAGAATAAAAAAAAACTTGCAATCTTTCTTACCTACCTAAGTAAGTTTTTATTAATGGAAATGTCTTTTTCTATAAAATAAAAGAATAGATGAATAGACAGCAGACAATGACGAGAGCAATGGCTGCTGATTGATTTAATGAAACGCTTATCTAGTCACAAATCACTACACACGCCTTATTTTCAGAAATGTTCTATTTCTGTGCCAACAGGGGAATATCATCAAGGTAATAACTATTACTTTTTACCAGTAATGTCAAGCGAGAATCGCATTATGTTGGATGAGAAAACAGTGCATAGAAATTGTCTTGTCATCATTATTTAGATACTTCGTGAAACTAGGTATTTTATGAACTGGATAGGTAGAGTATAAAATCCATTAACCTCCATTAGGTCAAAGGCCTGTACGAACCACATTTAGAGTACAGACAAATATACGTTTGGCCACAGAGGAATATCACCACAATTAGCACACTGCTAATAGAAGTCTAATTTTGGAACTAGTCCATCGATTTTTGGCTTTCAACATAACATAACATCACGCCTTTTATCCCCGAAGGGGTAGGCAGAGGTGCACATAGAAGTAACACCCACTTTTCACTATTTATGTTATGAGTCCCATGTAATAGGGGGTGAGCCTATTGCCATATACCGGGCACATTTCCAGACTCCGTGCTACTACTGAGATTTTTAAAAAAACCCCAGTAATACTTTTTGGCTTTCAAATTAGAGGCTTTAACTTTTTAATTAACACCTCTGTTCAAAAATAGTATTTAAAAAGTTGATATAGACTACATTTTTGCGTTGCTGAGATATAATTCAGAAGTGGGAAAGATACTTAATATGTATGAAATATATTTAGGTACCTGTTTGATTTATTTTCTGTCGGATTTAAGAAACGTTTAAAACACAGGTTTGAAATGTGGTTAATTTAGTTTACATACCGTGGTTAGTAACCGTACCGTATGGTTAGAAAGCGATGTATTACTACAAATTGAAGTACCCAGTCAATTAACTAAAACGCGGGTTACTCACGCGAATATACTGAGAAAAGGTCTACTAGATTCGAGCCACAGAGGGGTTCATGAGAAAGAACTATAGTAACTAGTATATTCACGTGAGTAACCCGCGACTTTTTGTTAATAAAAACATACCCAGTCAATTGTTGTCTATAGGTATCTAGAACATTTTTTTCTTCAGCCATGATAGTCCCACTGCAGGGCAAAGACCTAGAACATTAATAGCGTAATAAAAGTCCAATTTAGGAACGTGCCAATAGATTTCGTTGGCTATCAAACTCATAGGTTAAATGAAATTATGTTACATGGACAAAATAAGTTAATAGTCAACATTCGAAGTATCTATAAAGTAAAATAAAATGTACCTAATACGTTCAATATTATTGATTTATTTTAATGTTTTTATTGTTTTCGTAACGGTAGCAATATGCATATCAATAGACAGCAATCGACTCTTTCACTAATCTTATGAAGAGCTATAATTCTATAACATTTTGTTCGATAAAACATATAGGTATGTACAGTGAACGGTCATAAGGCTGACTACTGCTGTACATAATTTATCAAATTAAACCAACAACGCATAATTATACTAACCACATAATTATACGTTGGTTGTAATTAATCGTAAACTCGTAATTGATATTTCGACTGCAATGTAAACTCTATCACCACAGATAAACGATTGTTTTTGAACCTTTTCATTCTTTGTTTTTTTTTGCGAGAAGAACAACTACAGTCGTAATTCAATGTAGGTAAATCAATACCAATTTTTTAATTACGAACTTCGAATTGTTGACGATGAGTGTGGACTACACATCTCTTTGTATTGATTCAAATTATTTGACTTTGACTTTTGATTTACTTGAAATCAAACCTACTTACATAGTTCATGCGACGATACATAGATTTAGATTAAATAGGCACTGTCTTTATTTCGTCTGGATTGAGTTCTGTTCGCTGTTGTTACACAGATTCGTGTAACGAACTTTTTATCATTTTTACCTTATAATATTCAATCTAGCTGCTCAATCCCCAAGCTGTCACCGGTGACCGCTCTCCACTAACTACATTATAGACTTTATTTCCGATGTTTAGAGGCTACTTTCGTATGAATAAATTGAGGGTACGATATTTCAACAGGGACGTTGAAAAATGGCGTACACAGTCTCTTGAAACAACGACTGTGGCACCTGGTTACTATAGACTTACAGACAGAACATACACACATTGACACGAAGGACATCTGTCATTTTCTTAAGTCTGGTAACGTGGTAATCCATTACACACGCACACATAAATAACTCACTGACATTTTGGTGCTTCAATCAGTAGTAAGAGACATTATGTTCGCCTTTTTTCAACGTGCTTATGTTTAATAATAACATTCATCATTTCAAAAATTGAAATACATTCAGTTATTTGAAAAATTTTATGTAAGAGGAATATAATAGGTCATGTAGACTGAATCAAATCTAAATTACCTAAAGCTCAAATTAAGGAATTAAGACTTGCCTAACGACGTGTTTGTAGAGCGATAGATTTTTTATTACCTATAAAAAATCTATCGCCCTACAAACACGTCGTTAGGCAAGTATAAGAATATACATTTTTTCGAAATAGATACGAGAAAGCATACTTAACTTATCGTCATTCTATAACACGTATAGTCAAGAGCATTAACCCACATGAGCACATATTCAGCTCAACATTTAGGTAAGCAAAAGTATGCTTGTTAGGTATACATAAAATGACTAATATCTAAGTTCAACAACAAGGCACAAACAAGTTGGTGTTCGTCTCTCGGGCCTGAGTGCTCTGGGAGGCCTCAGAGGGACCGCCTCCTCGCCACGCCCACCTTAAGCCACGCCCCCAAGTGCCTAGAGATTTGCCTGTTACGAGGAACATCGGTGCTTGTTTCAACTTAAGATGTATGATGTATTTCACTTAAGTATACGGAGATGATCCCTAAGTAACTTGCCTAATGCTCTATTATCCTAAATACATACCGTATTGGGCTTTCTTGGTATTTTTTCTTCGTGTAAGAAACGCATCTTTAGCTAAACAAAAGGCCGTCTTTATACCTAAAGATCGTAGAATGTGGAAGACTTGACATAACTCGATGAAAGATATGTTTAAGACAACAGATGTCTCGTTTGCTATTACTTTTATTATTGAACATGAATAAAAATACACATTACATC